CTGGTAGGGAGAGAGAGAGATGGAGGGTAGGATTAATTGAAAGGCATAGAGATTTATATGTTTGCCTAAGGGTGAAGGTGGTATGGGATTTAGGGACTTTGAGATCTTTAATGATGCATTACTTGCAAAGACTGTATGGAGAATCCTTTAAAATCCTGATGATTTGTAGCGTGCAATTTTGAAGGGTATATACTTTTTAAAAACTGATTTTATGCATGCAAAAAAGGGGAGTAAGGCATCGTGGGGGTGTTATAGCATTTTGGAAGGAAGAGATAAGATTAAGGATGATATCTGTTGGAGGATTGGTATAGGGAAGAGGGTTAGTTTATTTAGGGACCAGTGGGTTTCTTCTGCTCCTGGCATGTGTCTGGTTAGGGTGATTTGTTTGATGAGATGAAAAGTTTGAAAGTATGTGATATAATTTCTGATGGAAAGTGGTGTTTTGATAAGGTGGAGGATTGGTTGAGTGACGTTGAGAAGGATTTGATTGGCAAAATTAGACTACCAGTAAGAAGAGTTGATGATAGAATGGTTTGGGTTAAAAGTAAAGATGAGCTATAGAAGCATGAAAAGCAGTGATAGCGGCAAAATGAGGAAGGATCCTAGTGGGTCCTATAAAGTATCAAAGAAGCTGCGGAATGGTATTTGGAAGATTAGGATGCCACCCAAAGTTGTGCAATTTATGTGGAGGGTTGTTAATGGTGCTTTAGCCACTAAAGAGGCTTTGTTTCGAAGGAATTTTGCTGGTAGTTCAATTTGTGATATTTTTCATGCACAAGTTGAGACTATTGAGCATGTGCTATTTTTTCATCCATGGGTTAAGGGGTGTTGGTATGGATCTCCTCTGTCTCTTAAAGTTAGCAAAACTGGTATGTATAGTATAGGTAGGTGGATGGAGGAATGGTTGTTTGACAGATATAGAGGGGAGGATTATGAAGTGGCTATTGTGGCTGCAATTTGTTGCATGTGTGGAAGATGAGATGTAGTTTTGTGTTTAAGGAAGAAAGGATTTTCCCAGAAGTTTGTTTAATGAGAGCCTTGGGTTTGGTAGGCGAGTTTTGGGGACAAAATAGTAAGAAGAAAGCTGACATAGTGACTAGAAATAATGTTGATAGGTCACTAGTTTGGATGAAGCCTGTTACAGGTGTGGTGAAGATTAATATTGATGGAGGTTTTAGTTCCAAGAATGGGAAGCTACGATAGGTTTGGTGGAAGAGACTGTAGAGGGCAATTCTTAGGGGTGCTAGGCTTGAAGTTTGTGCTAAATCAGCATTTATGGCTGAGTGTTTTGCTTTAGTTGAAGCCTTACAGGTGAAAGATCTATTTAGTGATGGTCATGTAATTGTTGAGACAGATTGCTTGGAGCTATATAGGAGAGTTCAGGAGGAGGATGCTAAAGGGTGTGAATGGGAATGCTATGACTTGCTGCAGGAATGGTTTTATCAGAAGAGGTCTAATAGCAATTGGTCATTGTCTTTGGTGGCCCGTGAGGGAAATAGACCTGTTGATGCTGTTGTAGCTTTGGTTATGGGAGGAATGGTAGCGCAAGGATGGCTGAATAAGCCACCATCCTCTTTGGTTTCGATTCTGATGCTAGACCTATCTGATAAGAATATTGATGCAAAGAAGAACAAAGGTATTGGCTGATAGTTTACTGCTAATTCTAGTTTTTCCTTTGCCTTTGTTTCTTGATTTCTTCTATTAGTGTGTGTTTTACCTTTTTTGATATTAATAAAATGGCATCTTTTTGCTAAAAAAAAAAAACTATAGCACTGTGAATTTCAACAGAAGGAAAACAAAGAGAATGAATTCATATAGGAGGGATTAGTTACGAACGGGGATTGAGAAAATTTTAATTTTCGTAATTAAATGGAATGAATTATGAATTATTAAATATCATCTGGAGAAGTTTTATCCATCTTCTTTTGCACATTTCCATGTCTAATTGTCGTTTTGATGTCTATGCAGATTCACATTCTTTTTGGAGATTTTTTTGAGACAGGATTTTTAGTGGTTATTGTATCCACATTTTTTCTATCATTATTTGTATCATATTTTTTTTTTTGCACATTTGTTATTATTCTTCTCCCTCTATTTTCTTTTTTCTTTGACTTCTCTCTCTATCTTTTATTGTTATTATTATTAGAAATAGCAAAATATTTAAAAATATATATTTATAATAGACATGAGAATAGTCGAATAAGATTTTATCATTTTTCAAGAGTTTTGAATTTTATCTTTTCACATTAATAATTTAATATTAGTAACTACAATTTTAGATAGAGTTTCCCCCTTTCCTTCCAAAAGAAAATGTTTATTTGTATCCCCTTAAAATTTTAAATATATGTACATTTGAAAATACAAAATTCTTAGGTATTGATTATAAAAATATATTGTATAAAATTTATAAAATACAGTTACGTAACACTCCCCACATATTTATATTTACTCTTGAAATCGTCACTACTTTTTATGTATCAAAATTAATTCAATAATGAAATTGTATCACTTGCTTTAGAATATATTATTTTTTATAAGCAGAATATATCAGCATATACGCTCGAATAATATCTATTTCTTTATATATAAATTTTAATTTAATAACAACTTAAATAGCATATTAAATTCACTTTTCGTTTTATACATCAAATTATGCTCGTCTTTACTTAATAATTTATTTTAAATTTCTAGTTCTTTCAAATTCCTTTAGTTTTAATAAATAAAAAATGTGATGCAACTTTTAATTGAATTCTATGTGATCTTAACATTTATCATATAAGGAGAAATTTTATTGTAATTCACATAAAATGGCACACAAATACATTAGATCTTTTCTTTTGTTCTTTACATATGGAAAATAAAATCTTGAATTTCACATGGAACACTGATGTTCATAAATACTGGTTGGGTTCCAAGCGTCACACATGTATGTCACAAATCGAATAGAGAATGAAACTCTTCACCACAAAGCCAAAAATAGGGTTCTTTGCAATCTTTTTCATTTAGATTGTTTGACTTCTCACTTTGGTTGGTTGTCTCTAATAATCTATATATAAAAATCGAGGGGAAAAAAATATTATAAGGACCATGTAAATTGTCAAGAAAATTTAAAAAGTGGCCAGGCAAAGAATTGCATGCCAAAATTTTTTGATCATCTTCAAGACAAAAGAAAAAAGGAACATGGACTCCAGAGTATTGCAATGATAATTACAATGAAGATTATATTATGATCAATACAATAATTAGATTTACAACGATGAAAAAACTCAAAAAGAATGCCAATATGGCATGCTCATGCAAAAACCATCAATTTCCATCACTATCAGAGGTTAACACTTTTCTTGAAATTTAATGCTATTAATTTCTCTGACAAAATCCTCAGTCTCTCCCCCATTGGGATGCTCAGAAGAAGATTCTATATAGTTGATATGCCAAAGATGACCTCTATCTAAGACACTTCCAATACACAGGAATGCATTTGAGATGATGAAAGGCAATGTAAAGAAGAAAAAAAGGCAAGCCAATTCATCCATTTGGAAGATACCTACTTGGGAATGGATGCAATGTGCCCCCTAGTTCAAAGAGTATTGGAGGAAGGTGCTACGGGTTAGAATTGTGAAATGTGAAATAATAATTTTTTTGCAGGGCAAGGTGAAAGATCGAGAAAAGCCCACCTTCTAAATTAGAATGGTATTTGCAGACCCAAAGACCATGGGGGGTTGGAGGTTTAGACATGTGGAGAAAATGAATACAGCATGTGGTGCCAAGCAGAAGTGATTCTCTTAGATAATTGCTTTGTCGTATCTGAACAAGCAGTTTAGAATTCGAAGGTAAATGAATTGATGAAGAAGTATGGTGCTTGGGATTTAAAATCTGAATGATGATTAATCATATTAATCATCAGGGGCTCAGAGATTAATGCATTGGAAGTAAAAACGTAAAATTGAATACATTAATAGAGGTGAAGAAATGAGGAAGTAGGAGCACAGTGATCAACAATTGAAAATAATAAAATAATTAAATTAGATTGATGATTGAGAGTGTGAAAATGAGTTTAATTGATCAATTTGACCAATAAGATAAAAATGTGATACAATAATGATAAATTTTATAAAGTGATGGCAATTTTAATTGACCATTTAGATTTTTCCTAAAAATATGATAAACTAAATTTAATTGATCAATCAAGTTTCATCAATTAAGATTTGACGATATAAATCAACCAATCAAGCTTCATTCATGAAGATTTGAGGATATAAAATATACTCATAAAATTTGAAGATATAAATAGATGGATAGCACATAAGGCTTTAGTAAATATATTTGAAAAAATGACAATAAAATCTTTCTTAATTATGTAAATAATAATTTAGCCTATAAAATATCATAATATCAATGAAGTTTATAAGGATCTCTTTGTCAATAATTTTTTTGAACAAAAAAATTATTTTACTCTTATTGACAAATTATAATTTTTTGTTCAATTTTTATGATCCTTTGAAAAGAAGTTATGATTCTTTAAAAAAATTATAAATAAAGTTTTTTATTTTAAAAATTATTTTTTTATAATAGAAATTATATTTGATAAATTGTAATTTTTTGTTTAACTTTTATGATTCATAAAACAAAACTTGTTATTCCTTAAAAAAAATTTGTGATTGAACTTGTTTTTTAATAATAAAAATTGCACTTGATGAGTTGTGATTTTTAATTCAATTTTTGTGATATACATAATAAAAGTTATGATTTTTTAAATAAAAATTATCATTAAATTTTGTTATTTTCAGTAAAGATAAAATAATAATTTTTTTTTAAAAAATTATTGACAAAAAAGTTCATAAAATTTTTATTGATATTATGATATTTTAAGGGATAAAATTTTTATTTATATAATTTAAAAGAATTTATTATTATTATTTTTTTTAAAATTTTTAGTTTTTAAAATTACTTACCAGAAAATTGAAAATATTTGGGACTTGTAAGTAATTTGTCCTTTCCAATGGATGTGCGGGAGCCTGAAGTTCGGGAGCCAAGGTCGGCGGCATCTGAGGAGGAAGAGGGGCTCTGGATTCTAGAATGTCAATTAGAGGGCCAAAGGAAGAAGCTTTTTAGGAATATGATACGCGATGTCTAACCTTACCGTTGACCCTATTCTTTTATTTGACTTTCCTCTGAAAATCTCTCTCTTCTAGCTTCTACGCTCACTCGAGATAATATCTTTTCCATTCTATCACCTTTCCGACAATCATGGCATCATACATTTTTCGACGGAGAATATCATCTTTTGGGGTTTCTCGCACTTCGCACGGTTTGACCTTCATATCCTCGTTTTGGCTGTCTTTGTTTCGATTGCACATTTGATTATGATTTGTTTGGCATATTTCATTTGGTGAAATTTTGTTCTGTCTCTGACAGAAAGGAGAGAGGTGTCTTATTGTTACGTGAGTAGGTTCTTGCTTTCATATTTTGCTCAAAACTGGAGCAAGTTAGAAGGGTCATTCCGTTTAGTGGAACCCAATCTGTTGCATCTTCTTAATTGAATGTAACATGGCGTGCATTATTTTTGGCTGCTAATTAATTACCGTGGTATTTAGAAAATGAAGTTTTTATTTCTATAATTTATTTCTATTTGGGGAATGTGATACTCTATGCATTGAGCCCATATAGCCGTTGTAAGTAGCACCTTGAACTCTTTTCCTCTGTAAATTCATATTTAGACCCTTTTTAATTTTACAACCAAACAGCGACATTGTCAAAAGTGGGGTCTCATGGCCACAAAACAACCTGCTACTTGAAGAGTAGGCACTTTAAGACCCAGTCACCCACCCTTGTGTAGGGACTACAAGTGTCTTGATCAAAGGTGGAATAGAATCTTCGACTCATTACAACTTATGCTGGTGATAAAATTTGAGAGACGTTTTCATTAGTCTGGCAACTTGATGAGAAGTACAAGGCTCATGATTGCTAATTGTTTATGGAATACTGAAAAGATTCTACTACTAGATGTGATCGATGGAGCATTTTCCACTTTTTCCCCCAACTTAAAAGTTCGAACAGTTTCTTGGTTTTTCGTCCTGTATCACATGTTTGTATTTGGTACGTTGGCAATTCCTTCATGTCTGAGGATGATAATTAATGGTGGTCTATATGTTAATATTGCTGCTCAAATTGTTAATACTACTAACCCAAATTACTGCTCAAGTTGGATTTTTTTAAGTGAGTTCTATTGTTTATATTAATTGGTTATTGGTATTTTTCTTTATCATGCAGGTAACGAAGACCATTTTCATCTATATTTTAAATACAAGTTTGGATGTTTTAGTAGTGCTTCAAACAGGATACAGCCGTACAGCAGACTCAATGATACCACGGGGATTGATTTGACTGACTTAACGTATGTGTATATGTCTCACAGCTATCAAATGTACATACCTTTGATTATGGATGTGCGCTTTATTGCTTTTGTTGGAAAAAGTTATTAACAATATAAACTTCAATATTAGACCAAAGATCAAGTTAGTTCCCTTAATAAATCATTTTTTGGTGCTTAAGTTTCCTTAATAAATCATTAGAAAGTTTATTTTCTCAACCTGTAGACAGAACAATGTTTCTAACTGTAGAGATTATGATGTCTTTGTGATAGATCCTCACAATTAATTAGAACCGTGGAAGAAGTGAATATGTTGTGTTAGGGGAAAAACTATTTTGGTAAATATCAGAGAAGGAAGAGGGACCCAAGGAGACTGTTTTGGGGAAGATTCAGGAAAGGTTTATGAGAAAAAATGGGAATAGAAAGTGAGTGAGGACAGAGATTGTGGCAGGCAGGAGGGGGGGGTCTGGACCCCTTGAAGAACTAGAATTTTTCTTTTCTTTCTTGTTTTTTCTTCTATTTTATTTCCAACTTGAAGCTGCAAATTCCATCAATGAATTCTTCAGTTGAGGACATAAAAAGGGGATAGGAGTAGAAGATAAACAAATGATGGGAAATTTGGAGACAAATATGAAGGCTGTGAAAGAATCCATGATTGAAATTTAAAAAAATTACATGTCCAACAAGATGGAAGATGCAAGTCTCCAATGGGCCAGTCATTGGGCCAAAGAAGAGAGGCTAATCAGTGATTTGAAATGAAGGTTTAGTGATTGTGTGAGAGAGGAACAAGGGAGAGGTTCAGCATTGCTGATTCAAACTACCTCTTCTTCTGGGAGACGAATTAATATGCTGGAGTTCCAACCGGAAAGGATTCAACCATGTAGGGATTAGCTTGTGAAAAGTTGGGGACTCCTCAGCAGTTGGTAGAAGTGGTGGGATATATTGATCTGTTTGGTTTGCTTATGGTACCCTTGCCGTTGCTTTTAGATGATTTGTTGAATGATGATTTCATCAAGGGGCTTAGTGGAGACATTACGGTTGAGTAGTTGGATTGGAGTTTGAATTTTGGCTGATGCCATTACTTTAGCCAAGAAAATTGAAAGAAAGAATTAAATATTAAATAATACAGGGAAGGCAGACTGGTCCTTTTTTCAACTAAAGCTGGGTAAGGAAGCATGTTGGGTTTGGGAGACAGCCCAATTGAAGCTTGGGAATGAATAATTAGGTTGCAACTTATGCTGGAGCCTGGAAGAATAGATGAAAAGCATCAAGCAAGAAGAGGTTTTGCAAGAATTGGAGAGCATGGAAGACTTCCTACTTGAAGAGATTGGACGGAAGCTGTGTCTTACAACTTTTACTTGTCAGCTTGAGGCAAGGTGAAGCTGGTGATGTATTGTTAGACCCCTGTAACTTATAAGAGCTGTGGAAGGAAGGAATGGGCTGTTAAGGGAAGAAAAGCTGCTTGGGGAATCACCTAGGAAGTGAGAGACATGGAGGCTGTTTAGGGGAAGATCTGGAAGAAAGTTTGTCAAAAAAGTGGGAGTGAAAAGGGATTGAGGAAAGAAAGTTAAGTAGGTAGTACTTTGGTGGAAATTGTGGGAAGTTCTCTAGTCCCTTGAAGAGCTATGCCTCCCTGCTCCCCCTCTCTATTGTAATTTCTATTGGAAACTCAGGTTTCCAGCTGTTTGCTTCTAACATTTTTATCTGAGTTTACACCCAAATTTATAGTTTTTAATTTTCTTATTTGTTATAGGAATAGGATTCTGAAATGGGGCTAGAGAAATGATCTGCATTATTCATAACTCAAGAATGGTGCAGTTTGTTAAAGTTTTTACATCATATGTAGATGTTGCATCGGGCCTTCAATTATCCCCTCTTTATTGATCAAGGTCTCTGGTGCTTTATTGGCTTGAAGCTACTGTGGTAATGATAGTAACCATGTGATCTTGGTTTACATAATAACAGTCCTGATGCTAAATTCATGTTTCCTGCAGTCGTCCTCATACGTGGTACCCGCTAGCCCGCAAGAAACAGCGCAGAGTTATATTGCATGTTGGTCCCACAAATAGTGGTAAAACCCATCATGCTCTGAAGCAACTTGAGTCAAGTTCTTCTGGTACATTTCTTTTCTACCTTCTACTATGTTAATCTGTAAACAATGTTGAGGGAGGATTAAAACTTGTTAAGTAGGTTAAACACTTTTTTATTCTGCAGGCGTGTATTGTGGTCCTTTAAGATTGCTGGCATGGGAGGTATCGAAACGGTTGAATAGGGCAAAAGTTCCTTGTGATCTCATTACTGGTCAAGAACGTGAGGAAGTTGAAGGTGCAAAACACAAGGCTGTGACAGTTGAGATGGCTGATGTAACATCCAAGTATCATTGTGCCGTTATTGATGAAGTACAGGCATGTCAATTGCTCATTTTGAGATTGACTTCTCCTATCTTTATCTTATACAGCTACTAGGGACTTTTGATTCGACTTTTGATGTCACATGAATCAAAAGTATAAATTCACATCAACATAAGAGGATAAACCTTTATATGTTAATCTTCTTGTTATTATGTTATATTAGTGATTATATATGTATTATTACTAATATTTATTTTTCATTTAATAAAATATCAATGTAATTTACACGAGTAGTTGATTCATTTGTTATATTTGTTTCTCATTGCTTCATGTGGTTGGTTCTATCAAACACAAGCTTGTTGGACGTGTTTGTTATCATGATTTCCATTCCCTGCAACCTTTATAATTCTTTTTCCTTCCAGATGTTGGGGTGTAAAATGAGGGGCTTTTCATTTACACGTGCTTTATTAGGAATAGCTGCAGATGAACTTCACCTTTGTGGTGATCCAGCTGCTGTTCCTCTCATTCAGGAGATACTGAAAGTTACTGGAGATGAGGTTGAGGTACTGAATATTCTATTTCTAAACAACCCCAAGTGGGGGTAGCATCTGTGGAAATCAATTATTTCTTGTGAATTTGCCATTGCGTGGTTATTGCTAACAAGGCATGGTGCTGATTTACACTGTTTTCATAATTATTTTTTTAAATTTGTTTTAACATGTTATTTTCTTCATGCTTGCTGTAGGTTCAATATTACCAGAGATTGTTACCTTTAGTTCCATTAAAGACTCCTCTTGGATCTTTCTCTAACGTGCAAAAGGGTGATTCCATTGTTACCTTTTCACGTAAGGGGATATACAGGTTGAAGGTCAGTTTTTTATGTCATTAATTTTATTCTGAAGTTAAGTTAGTATGTCTTCATTCTTGCTTGAGGAAGAGGTACATTTGGAGTTGCTGCCTAGTTGAGTGATTTGTTTCCCGTATTTTGATAAGGGGTTAGTGGGTAGTAACTTGGAAGTGAAATTGAATGATCAAACCATACGTCAAGTGGAAAAGTTTAGATATTTAGGAGCGATTATTCAACAAAATGAGGAAATTGATGGAGATATTGCACATAGGATACAATTAGGGTGATTTAATTGGAGAAAGGCTAAAGAAGTTATTTGCGATCATAAAGTACTTAATAAGCTTAAAGGAAAGTTTTATTGAACTGTTATAAGACCAGTAATGTTATATAATAGTGAATGTTGGGCTTTGACGGGATAGTAAGAGTATAAAGTTGGAGTAGCAGAGATGAGAATGTTGAGATGGATATTTAGATATACGCATAAAAACAAAATTCGAAATGAGTGAATATGGAAAGAAGTGGGCAGGGCACTTATTGAAGGAAAAATGGTGGAAAATCGTTTGAGATGGTTTGGACATGTACAACGAAGACTGCGGGAGGCACTTGTGAGGAGAGTGAAACAGATGACTGAGCCCTCTCAAGAAGGGTAGAGAAGACTGAAGAGAATACTTTTGGAGATTGTTGAGCAAGACCTTTTAATTAACAATATTTTAAAAAACTTAATAAATGATAGATCACAATGGCGTCATATAATCCATGTAGCCGACCCACTTAGTGGGATAATGCTTGTTGTTGTAGGAAGTCAAAATTGGTTTGTAGTTTACATTTCTTTGTTAATGATCTGAAGTGGTCTTTTCAAACGTGGTTTGGACTTTGGAAAAGTTGATAGTATTGTTTAGTAGTTTAGTGTAACCTGGTGTTAGGTTGAGTTGACCTTTTGACCATTGTGCTTTAAATGATTGTGTTTATTGTATAGTCCTTATGCATTACATAGTTATCATGGCGGGTAATAATCATGTTATGATTAGGCATGAGCATTGGTTGGAAATATCCACAAACATGAATTGTACCCTAGGATTATTCTAGCTGTGGTGCATGACATAGCTATGTCATGTATAAACATCTTGTAATTATTATCATGGGTTAAAAGACATTTTTGCCTTTCAACTATTCATGTAGGAGCATTTAGTAACCTGAACTTTTTTGTAGTGCGATGTTCCTCTCCAACAATTAAAAATAGTGCAATGCTAATCCCACCGTTAAAAAATGTTAATTTTGACAGTTAGTTGACTCAAAAAATGATTGAAAATGACCTAAACATTACAAAAAAGTCCAAAAAATTGCACACGAGTACCCTATTAAGAAAATTAATATAGATTAAGTCCTTTAAATTACAAATAAATACCAATAAACAAATGTTATTTCTTACCATGTAAAAGACTAAAATACCATTTTTGAGAGGCAACCAGATGATTATCGGATCATCATTGTTGACAATAACACCGGTATTTAATAAAAATAATATATTTGGTTTAATAATATCTTGTTAAACCATTAACACTTTAATATTTAATAATTTTTAGTGGTATTATTGCCAACAATGATTTTTTGATAATCACTTGATAGTTGGTCAAAGTGGCTTGTCAAAATGGTATTTTGGTCTTTTATATGAGTGAGAAATATCATTAGTCTATTGAAATTTATTTGCAAATTAAGAAACTTAATTATATTATTAATTTTCTTATTGGATCCTTTAATGTAATTTTTGAGATTCTTTCTGTAATTTTTTAAGTCAACTAACAGTCAAACTTAACCTTTGTAATGGTAATTGCAAAATTTCACCAATTTCAATTGAAGGTAGATATTGCATCGTGAAAAAGGTTTAGAATGATAGATACTCTTGCATGAATAGATGAAGTTCACAAAATAAGTTTTAGCACTTCCCTAGTGTCTTATCTCCATGGCAGATGGTGAAATACTGACTTGCACAGTGGCCAAAGTCAGACAAATCCACTAGAAAATATCAAGGAGATACTGTGAAGTTTTGCATTTGGGGGTACTCATACAAGGGTAACATTAGGCCTTAGGGAGTGTTCTATGTTCATTCATTCAGACTATCAGGGTTTTAATCTGTCAAAATGCTTGTGTTTTTTTCTTGGGTGAATTGTCAAAATGCTTGTTTTCTTTATGCATTAATGCTCTTTTTTTTTAATGGAAATGGAGATTATTTTTACATGCTTGTTGAAATGCTTATGTTAATTTATTTATAGTTCTACCAATTCGTTTGTCTAGGTGTGTCATGTATGTTTGCATAGTTAACTAAACAGTGAACGACAGTATTGATTTTAGTGACTATGTTTTTATTTGGATAATATTTACACCTTGCTGAACTTATGTTCACCAATGTCGCTCAGAAGAGAATTGAGAATGAAGGAAAGCATCTTTGCTCGGTAGTTTATGGCTCACTGCCACCAGAGACTCGAACAAGGCAGGTGTGAATGCTCATCTACGTCTAAGAATGTTAAATCTGGATTCTTATAGGCTATTTCTTCCATTTTGTCTGAGAACTTTGATTAGTTTACTAGTATGCAGGAGGTAATGGGTTCAAACATCTGTACCATAATTATACAAAAAGTGTAAATTCCAAAAATCAATTGACTCTCAGTTTGTTGAGTTACCACTTAATCACTTTTGTGGTAAATTTTGCCCTGACTTTCGCAAAAGTAATCAGGTGAAAACCAGAGTTGGGCTGCTGAAGTGGTATCTTGTTATTGAAAGTGGAACGGGGAAAAGAATGAATATTTATGAAGAGTCTAGTGGGTTTCTCCTATCTTCTATAGTTTCCCTGATTTTTGCGAAAGTTCACAGTAAGATTCCCTCTTTTTTATTTTTTATTTTTTTATCTTCATTGAAATTGTAATTATAGGTCGTCATCAATTTTTGCCTCATAAGAGTGCAGATGACATTGTCACAGTACATGTGTGTGTGCAGCACCCAATGTTCGTTAAATTTAATCTTCGACCAGTGGATAAATTTTGTAAGATGAGGGTTTTTTTTTTTTTTAATTGGATGAAAAGATCTTATTATGACGATTACATTTATCCAACATTGTGCTTCATTAATACATGATAAAGCTAGCTAGAATATACCATTTAAATATAACAAATTGATTTCAGACTTATATTTATATGTGTTTACACGTTACATACATACTCGCTTAGAAATTGAAAGGAAATGATATAATGATGGGTACTTAGGTGAGATGGAACTTTTCCTAAAAGCAAGCTTTTGTTGAGGAAGAACCATTCCATTAAATACCCCAATGTATATCTTAGACTACTCAATGTGGAACTATATGCGTGCATAATATATATAGCATGTGCACTAGTTGAACAAGTGATAGAGTAAGGAGTAGTGTAACAATCCCATGAAGAATGTTATAACTATGCTATGGTTGAATAATAATAAAATGATATAAAAAGTGATTTACATTTGTCATCTTTTGGCTTCAAAGGAGATTTGTGTATATTTTCATGGTAAAGGTGAGGTTTTTGTTATATGGGTATGTCTCATCGGAGAGGGGAGTAATTGACCCTAAAAGTTATCATATATTATTGCCTCATCTGTTATTTGTAACTTCCTTGTATTTAATGAGTTATCCCATGTTTTCTTCCTGTTCTCCCCATTTGAACTAACTGAATGATTTGCCGATTTAAAATTTTCATTGGACTTGCAGGCAACCATGTTTAATGATGCAAGTAGTGAGTTTGATGTTCTTGTGGCCAGTGATGCCATCGGAATGGGTCTTAATCTGAACATTTCTCGGATTGTATTTTCAACTATGAAGAAGTTTGATGGCTTTGAGATGCGCTATCTTACTGTACCTGAAATCAAGCAGATTGCAGGTATCCTGAATTTACATATGAGAGGACTTTATCATAGAAATTGATCGAGGATTTAGGTTGTTAAGAGTAAATATATATATTTAGGGTGAATTTAATATGTTATTTAGTTTACATCCTTTAAGATTCTTTAAAGATTGAATCAACTTTAAACTAGTGTCTCATCTATTTTCAAGTTTAGATGTCTGATCTAATATCCTGCATGCTTTTCTTGCCTTTTGCTCATTTTTTATCCAACTGTTTGCAGGGAGAGCTGGTAGATATGGGTCCAAGTTTCCCATTGGGGAAGTAACATGCTTAGATGCAGAGGATCTACCCTTGCTTCATTCGTCATTAAATTCTCCATCCCCCACATTAGAGGTATCCTTCAAAGAGCCTGATACCAAGTATATATCCATGACAAGAAACGAAAAGCTAGTAATAGATTTAAATCTTAATTTATGCATTGCTAACTTAATTTCAGATCTTCTATTGCTGATTTGTGTTATGATATATACTTTTTCTTATGCAGCATGCTGGGATACTTCCTCCATATGATCTCATGCATATACATTCACGTTTACACCCCAAAGATAGTTTCACACAGATACTGGTAGGTTGGCATAATAGCCTAATAATCTGCATGTTTTTCTCATTGATTCTTTATTTAAATTTGAAATTTCTATTTGTAAGCTAGAAATTTGGCAGTGTTGGCAGTTATTATCATTTATCTCAATTGGTAAATGTTTTGGTATCTCACCTTAATTTTATGGGATTATTCCCACTGATTTGTTCCCTGATTTGATCTAAGTCAGATGCGATTCAGATCTGATACAACAGCTATTTCGCCTGCCCCTTTAGTTTCCCTTAATATGTGTAGTTTTGTCTAGTTATGACTTACGCCTCTCAATTCATGTAATTCTTCTCCATTTTGTTTTCCTACGCCTTTTTCTTGTAATTCATATAATTCTTATGGGATATACTCTTGCTTCCCATAAGTAATCTTTAACACGCTTGATGTTTTTATTGGGTGATGATTTGTGCGAGCAATTCCTTTCTAATTGTGGCCCGCTGCTATCAGATCATGGACTTGTGATTGGTAGTTTGGTTGTACAAATGACATACCATGATGAAGTCAACTATTTGTCCCCTTTATCAGATGTCGAACTTGAAGATTTCTAGTCACATTAAAATGCACCTGAACAGCCATCAAGTTTTAGTTCTGACGGCCACTGCCTTTTTGCAGACTTGAAAATGGGATTGTACTATGTTCTTATCAATTTTTTTCCTTTTTTGTTGCAGGAGTATTTTTTAGACAATGCCAAATTATCAGAAAATTATTTCATTGTTAATTGCGAAGAATTATTGGTATGTTTAATTATAGCACCTTGCCATTTAATCACTAACATTTTATGTTGACGTTTCATTACTTATTACCACTTTGATTACTTCCCTTTAATTATATATTCACTGATTTCCATTTGGTTGTGATGTGGATATTGTTTGCAATTGCTGTCATCAGAAGGTCGCTGCTATTATTGATGAGTTCCCACTTGGATTGCATGAAAAATATCTCTTTTGTATAAGGTGTGTTTTTTTTCTTTAAAAAATTTACCAGATTTCTACTGTCATTTCCACTTCTATGAATTGAAAGAATCAGAGTGAACAAATTAGGGTGTCCGTACTTTTCTTATCACTAATGTTTGTGATATTCAGTCCAGTTGACATAGATGATGAAATTTCATCTCAAGGCCTTACACAGGTAATCAATCTTTCTTTCATCATTACGAGATGCATTGATATCAGATTGAAGGGCATGAAAGTGACTATATTTTTTTATCAACCAGTTTGCGGAGACTTATGCGAAGAAAGGCCTTGTTCGACTTCGGGAAATATTTACGCCCGGTACACTTAAGGTGCCTAAAACACCATCTGCTCTTGAGGAACTTGAATCTATCCACAAGGTGAGGTTTATTTTATTTATTTATTTATTTTTTGTAATTGTTGTTAGTCTGTGTCAGTATTCATTGTTGAATGTCTTGATTGACACAAGCTCTGGGCCTCCGTTAAAGGTGTTGGCTCTGGCTCATAGGTAAAAAACACAACTGTGAACGATGCACTTGCTAAACCTAGGAATGGTAATTGGCAAAAATGAATTACTTGGACCTGTTTCATTCTGTGATCGCGGGATATAATGTCAACTTATCACAATATTTTATAGGCTTGCAATGTGTGTAGATGAACACGTGCCTGTAATACACCGAACACTATACTTCTCAATAATTTGTTATCAATGTTCTGTCTAATGTCTGCAGACAATTCTGAATGACCTAATCTATTCTTTTACTAAGGTCTGACACACACTACATGTTGGTTTATCTTTTGATCATATTTTTAATTTTCTTGTTATTTCAGCCCATTATAACAGACGCTTTATCTTAATATTAAATGTAAATTGAACATCCTAGGCATTGAATCATTAGTCGTTTTAAAGTTGCCTTGCTCTGACATTGTACTAATTTTTCTCAACAGCCCGTCAGTACGATGTTGTAGATGATAATTGCTGGAATCGTGAATTCCATGGTGTTAGACATTGTAATTTTAACAAGTCAATTATATAATATGAAATTAAAATTCAAAAATTATAACATGAGATAATATAGTATAGCAAAAACCTCAGGATTTTCCGGCCTTCCTTCTTTTCCATACTTGTTAGATTATGTTAACAATGGGTATTTCATCATCCCATATTGTAAAGAATGAAAAAAGGGAAAATAATTTGGAAAACACTGATGAGGGGAGGTTTGGTTACATATATTTATGAAGTGAGGCTTGTTTAACTTGAGATATTATTGATGTTGCACTTTTATTATTTTTATATGCTTCTATTTTGTAAGTAAACCAAAAAAACAGAGAGAACTTACTGTAGTCTATCCATTTTAAGTATATTAATACCTGTTTCTTGACAGTTGAGGTATATTTTTATAATATATATTTTTTGGAGAACTTGAGAAAAGAAAATGAGCAGTGTAATCTTGAGATTTCTTTTACGGATCTGGTGTCACACACACACACACACTGACACTGTCCTAGCATTGCACCAATTCAGAAGTACTAATGTTGATTTAGTTTAAATTAACATGATGGCTATATTATACTATGTGGTATCTCTGATTTGTTCTTAGTTGACATGAAGTTTCTTAGACAATGATAATAGTTTGATTTGTTTTAACTAATAATCACTTTGATGGTGTGCCAAAATTAAAGGTCTTGGATCTCTATGTTTGGTTAAGTTTTCGACTGGAAGATTCTTTCCCAGACCGCGAACTAGCTTCATCACAAAAGGCCATCTGCAGCATGTGAGTTCTTACCTTTTCTGATACGTTGATTTTTTTTGTAGAAATAATAAAACTTTTAGTCCAAAAGCTTGTCTCGGTGATTTGGTCATTTAAGTTTAATTTTTATTTAATTAGTCCATTAAACTTGTTTTAGCTATTGATTTGGTGTTTATTATTTAAAGAAAAGAGAACGGTGTTAAAATATGATTTTTTTTTTTTTGGTTAATTCCATGTTATGATTGTTGTTGCTGTGGAATTTGAAACTGTAGGTTGATTGAGGAGTTTCTGGAAAGGTTTGGGTGGCAGAAGCCTAATGCATCAAGGTTGTCAAAGCGTACCACTAATAGCAACATGTCTTCCCTCCTGTCACAACATATGAGGCCTTATTTGTAAATTCACTTCGGGGCTGTGGTGGTGGGCCCCACTCCTGGTCTTTCATTTTTAAACCTTGTAGATTAATCATTTTTCTTAAAAAAAAAAATTGTTCAATCTGTTGAAACTTGTAAATTCAAACACTCCATCTTATATTTCTTAAGAAGAAATCTAGGCCACTCGTTCCCCAAAGTCCTAGCACAAAAAAAAAAAAATCGAAAACTTCATTTATTTTGTGATGATTAGAATAAAATATAAACAACATATTTAGAAAATAAATATACTGATTATGCCACTACTATGGAGTCTTAATTCTTAAACAAATGGATCCATTCGAATGGAACTGTATACAAGTGAAGTCATAAAGGTTAAGTCATGTTTTTGTGAAAAATAAAGAAATAAAAATAAGTTAATGAAATTCTCTACAGTAATTTCAGGTAGTTTTTCATGGATTTTGAGTAAATTGCAACTCTTCCATATATCAACGCTCTCCAAGATGACCAAGTTTAAGTTTTCAACGACAATTTTCAGAGTCGTTTTCGGATCTTTAATAATGTACAACTTTCTTTCGTATATTCCCATAAGAACATGAAGACTATTGAAGATTGAGATATGTGAAAGAGACTTGTATATTACTGAAGATTCATGGAGGGCTCATTGAAGATTATTATACGTCTTTTCCCCCATACACTTGATTTTCAATGATGTTTTTCATGAAAAATGAGATTTCTTATCATAAAAAAATATTTTATCTAGGCAGATTTTCGAATAAATTGTAAACATTATCCTCTATCTTTTATAATTTCTTCCTATATATATATATTTGAACTCACATATAGGCAAGGACAAAATGGTATTTCTGCGAGGAGACATTATCCCTTCAGATCTGTGGTCCTCTAGTGTTTAAATCCATTTTGAGTTTGAGTTTTGACTTTCTCCCCAATTTTTCCTATTTTATTTGGCAAATCTGGTTAAGCAATTATTGTTGTTTTAAAATAAAGAATAACAATATTTAAAAGGATGAGTTACTCTTCAAGTGACCGGGGCAGAAGAGCACAGTTGCTTGCAACGTTAAACGGTCTTCTCCTTCTTCCCTTCCGCCCCCAGCATGAAATACTGCGGCTTTTCACCATAAGCTTTGACCATGATTAAGTGCAGAGACATGGCGAATACGGTTATGGCGATCAAGTATCAGCTGAATTCGATGTTCACCAGAGACTTTGCGCGATGAAGAGCCTCGTCGCCGGAGCATCTCACCGCCCCGGTGACCTCCTCCTGGTTCATGAAACACCTTTTGGGTATCAACACAGGAGTCCAGGGCATGAAGCCCATGACGACGAGCCACACGCCTTGGAAAAATATGCTGACAGATCTCACGAAGCTGACCAGGAAGCTCCTGGGGAGGGCGATTCCGATGAGAGTGGTGGACAGAGAGACGACGATCACGAGCTGTAACAGAAGGTGGTACTGACCTTCCGGTCCCATGTGGTCGGCGGAATGAAGGTGAAAGAGGAGGAGCTGCTGCGCAAAGGCGACGGCGCCTAGGAGCTGAGTCAGCCCTAGTTTGGCCTTCTCCGGCAAGGTGGCTCGGTCGAGGACGACGGCGAAGGCGGCATAGACGAAGAATGTCATGGAGATGGAAGAGTGCTCGAAATTGTGGAGATGGTAGGAGGGAATGGTGCCGTCGGAGTCGAAGGGCTGGTGGCGTTCGGGGCCAATGAAGAGCTCCATGGATATGGAGGCCAAGGAGCCTGCCATGATGAGAAGAAGCTCAAGGTACTTGAACTTTGTGGCGGGAAACCATGGAGGAGAAACATAGGAACTGGAATTAACAGCACGGAGCTTCATGTGGTTGAAGAGATGCCACAGACCAATCAGCAAGAAGCCAAAACCAGGAGCGACATGGCCAACCAGAGTGCCCATGATTCAAATTTTGTTCTTCTGCTGCAGTTGTTGTGGTGTTGGAGGTTAGTGGGTGGTGTGTTTGCACCGAGAAAAGGAGGGAAAATTGGAGGGATTTGTTAATGGTGGTGATGGGGCAGAATTAGAAAGAGAAGAAATGTGGGGCTTTAATAGGCGGACGGTGAGAGGTTCGGGTGGAAAATTTAGAGAGAGCAAGGATGGTCTCATCCCTTCAGGGTTCTACAGAAACAAAGCGCTGAAGTGATCGCCGGCGTGTTCCAAAGAAGACCGAAAAAAGTTTAAAACCTGCTCAAATAAGTTTGAGAAGTTTGAGTCAGGTTAAATTAGGTTCCGACCTGAATAAAAAAAAATTACATTTTAAAAATATATAAATACATTAAGTTAAATATTAATTAATTTTTTGTTATTTTAATTTTATGCTAAGATATCATATATTTAAGTACATTATTATATATTTTTCTTAAAGAAAATAAAAAATATTTACATTGTTATATTTTTATTATTTTTAATTTATAAAATATCTCAAACTAATACTTAAAATATATGTCAATATTGTTTTTTAAATTTTAAGACCCACATAATTTTTAAAAAAAAAATAGTCTCCTACATCTTTTAAGTATTCCCAAAAATATATTTTATATTTTTTATAAAATAAAAATAATTAATTTAAAGTAAAATTATTTTAAAATAATAATAATTCAAGCATTTAGGTAGGCCTCGAATATGCCTGAAAGCCAAAAATGTTTAGGCCGGATTTGACTATTTAGGATTTTCTGTAAGTTCAAGTTTATTTAAGGTTTAGGTTAGATTTGATTATGACAGATTTTCTATAAGTTTGAGTTATTTAGGCCAACTGAAATAAGTCCGACCCAAATGTGTCCAATCCGCCTAAAGTAACCACTCTAACTGAAGTAAACTAAACTTGGTGTGGCTTGGGATCATAGTGAATACAAGCCGAAGCATGTTATATGCTAGCCCGTCACGATCAACTGGTTGGGTAAGGTGGGCTGAATTTTTTGAAAAGTAATTGCTACATGAAATTGTAGATGCTTGGGATCCAAGCTTAAAAAGAAAATAAGATCTGTTAGTGGTGTAAAAATTTCTACAGATATTGATAATTATCTGGGATTTCCACTCTCAAGGGATAGAAAGCCAACGGATAAGTTCCAATATATTGTTTAAAGGGTAAAGCCTAAACTTTCTAGTTGGAAAGCAAGTTGCATGTAAACAGCTGGAAGAGCAACCTTAGCAAAATTTGTTATGAGTGCAATTCCAATATACCCTATGCAAGTTGCACAAATACTGTTAGTATATGTTCTGAGTTTGAAAAAATCCAAAGAAACTTTATTTGGGGGAAAAACCAATCTCGCTCTTTTCACCCAATCATGGGAGACTCTGACCTTGCCAAAGCCATACGGGGAATTAGGATTTAAAAGATTAACTTCTGTTAATAGAGCTTTTGGAGCAAAGCTGGCATGGAATCTGATTAGTGGCAATAACAAGTCATGGGCAAATGTCTTGCAAAACAGATATATGCTCAGGGATGAGGAGAACTTGCTGGTTGCAAAAGATGGTGACTCTTCACTATGGAAGTTTATCTATTCAGCAAGAAAAAAAATCATTTGGGAAGCACAAAGTGGCAGATTAGAAATGGTGAATTTGTGAGTTTCTTTGATGATTACTGGTTATTTTCAGATAAAATACTCAAAAGTTCTGTCTAAGACCATTATCACCAGAAGAATTAGTGAGCAAAGTTATTGACTGGACTGTTGATGGTGTTTGGGACTACATTCGACTAGCAACAATTGTATCACTGGACGTCACGCAGACGTTAATATCTGTAATGCCTCCAGTACCAAGTGCTGGAAATGATGTTGTAAGTTGGAAAGAGAACTCTAATGGTGCCTTCACTGCGAAGAGTGCTTATTACCAGATTGAGATGAACCCTCCAGATTTACATGGTGAAACATTTAAAAGCATCTGGAAATGGAAGGGAGCTGAAAGAATCAAGTTCTTTATGTGGCAGCCTCTACATAATCGACTGCTTACTAATGCAAGGAGAAGCAGGTGGTATCAAAGCTCTCCTCTTTATAACTAGTGTCAATCTGAGGTAGAAGATACACTACATATCGTGCGAGATTGGCCCTATGCTCAGATAATATGGAGAAGACTCATGAAGCAAAGGTACCATTCTACTTTCTTTGCTAATTCCTTGACAGAGTGGATGAAATGTAACCTGAAGGAGAATCTTGGAATCTATAGTAATTTGAATTGGGGCTTACTATGGGGTGTTCTAATTTGGAAATTGTGGAAATGGAGAAATAGTTTCATCTTTGAATCAGATTTCTAAAAACCGAATGACCCGTTGGTGGTAATTATGAATACTTGGCAAACTTATGTGGACGCTTAAAGCAGGAAGAATTCATTTCTTTCTAAAATTCACTCACAACCCAATAATTGGAGCCCTCCTCCGGATGGTTGGGTCAAGATAAATGCGGATGGAGCTAGATCCCTCATAAGTGATATAACAGGATGTGGAGGTGTTCTAAGGGACCATACTGGACACCGGATCATGGGATTTTGTCATCATGTAGGCTCATGCAGTGCATATGAAGTTGAGCAGTGGGCTATACTAAAGAGTCTACTGTAAAAGCCTTGTTGATCAGATTGATAGAGAAAGGTCACACAGCCACATGTGATGCTTGGTTCAAGTTGGGATCATTAATAAATTGCAATGGGATTGGAAAGTTAAAATCAAGTTTTTGGAACGAGGGCAAAATCAAGCAGCAGACAGATTGGCAAAGGAGGGGATTTCCTACTCCTCTCTTTTTTATGTTGCTCCTAGCTTTATAAGGAGTCTTGTTTTTACTTCTTGTTTGGATCCTATTTTCCTAATATGTAATTACTTTAAATTCTTGGTGTAGCCCTCCTTTTTTATCCAAAAAAAAGAAGAAGAAATTGTAGATGCCTCACCTTATTAAAAAATGAAATTTTAGATGCCATTAATTGTAATGAAAATTGTTATTTATTACACTAAAATCAAGTTGTTATTTTTATAAAGTAGTCTTGTAATTGTCATCACTCATAATCAAAATCATTGATTGTTATGTAGAACTTGTCATTGAGCTCCAGTGTCAAATCATGGGCAATATGGTAATTTGATTAGAAAAAAAGTAATGTTGGAAAAGGATCTAGGGTCATAGATTATATGTTAATATCTTATATTTTCAGCTATGTTTACCAATGATTAAAAAATCAGATCAAATTGAATAGTCAAACTAGTTAAGCCAATGGCTCAGTCAAGCCAAAAAACTATATAGAGAATTGAGCCAAATTGAGCCGTTTTGAACTGGTGGTCGGACAAAGAATTGGGTTTGGTTTCTAAAAACCAGACTATTAAAAAAGGCCCTTTTTCTTTTTTTTATTTTTATCAATTTTTTTAAAAAAATGATCAATTTTTTAATTATTTGATATTATGTTGTATCACATGACTTGTTAAGTTATAATAAACTTAAAATATTTGGTTTTATTTTTAAGTTAAGTAATAATTTCATATTTACTTATCATATTTAGATTATTATATACATATATAATTTTTTTAATTTAATCATTACGTCACCAATTCAACAATTGATCTAACCCGATTAGACCATGCGATATGTGAATAGCTGGCCTTTTCAGTTTAATATCTTGAAAACATTGGTGCTTACATGCCCTTCTCCATTAATTAATTGACGCCAACAGTGATTAAGATCAATAATAAGACAAATACCAGGAAAAATAATTTCCCAGTCCTTATATTTTTATCACATTTCTGTAGTTCTGTTCATTAAAAAAAAAACTTTTCATAGGGTTTTTATATTTTTCTGAGCTATATATAGACGTTAATCTATATGATGGAAAGCATCACAGAATCGGATTTCATTGCGTACATGATGGAAGCCAATATATTCTGCCTATTTTGCCATAATTGAAATTCCCGAGAATCATATTTGCAGTATACCAAACACACATTTTCAATTTTGTTTTCCCCTTAATTCCAAGATTTCAGCAACACCTAAGTCCTTTTCATGCCAATCTTGAACATAATTAACGCGACCACATTTCCTTACCCACCTCATGCTAACCTCTCATGCTTAACACGAGCAAGTTTTCTTACACATTTTAAATGAATAAGCCATTATATATATTTTTTAAATTTTTGTCTTTTTTTTTTAACATAACAAAGCACTTCATTCAATTTCATTATCCCTAACTTCAGATAATTTAAGCCGCGAGATACATATATGTGTGTGCGCGCGCGCGCGCGCCTACCTTATCTCTGCTTCCGAGAAAGAATCCTCTAAAGAGTAATTAAAGAGACGGCTTATTTTTGTAAAGTTTCGCCAAGTGTTGATAAAATACTCTTAAGTCCTTATAGCAGTGCGATTCCAAAACATTGTACATGAATTACATGCTCCTAAATCCTTAAAGTTTCTATGCATGAATATCATATGACCATACGGAACATTTTAAATGTCAATTCTGATCTATTTCCAATTCCAATTCAATCAAAAAGTCTTCCATCATATTAAATTAAATGAGGCTTAAGGCTTGTGTTCTTAAAATTTCATGCAGCCACTTACCTTAGGCCTCTGTTTTGGGGTGAGATGAAGCAAGCAGTCACTTGTTCCTCTTTAGGAGAGAGAATCCCATCAGATTCTATATATATAGGAATGGTGTGATATGATATCCACTTCACAAGAGAGAATCTCATCACACTGTATACCTGTAACGTTGGATTTTTTATTTTCATGGAATTTCATAAATCAAGTTTTGAATGACTGAAAACTAATATTATGGTTGATTATGGGTTTAAAGCCCAAATAATGAAATCATCTTGTGTTGGGCTGAACTAATGAGTTGGAATAAGGAAAGTTACAATATTGTATCTTATCTTTTGAAGAACGAGAAAAGAAAGTTGTCTTGAGTGGCATTAAAAGCAACATGATGAAAATTAGCCAACAAAGCCAAAATGTCATGGATTATCACATTGTGATGAAGCTTACTGGAGAGGATCTGCCGAAAAAATTCTATCCCAAAGTTGATAACATGCAATCCCAAACCAAGCAGAGCAAGATTGAAGCAAAGATTATTGACCCACCACAAAGTAGCATGAAAGGCAAAGAAGATAGAACATATATATATAATAGTGTCCCTGGAGGCTTTCC